CCCCCCCTCCTCCCAACCCCTTGCCTCCAACCCTCGCGCCCGGGACCCGCACACAGCGCCCTCCCCCACCAAAACCCCACCTGCGACGTCCACCATCCACTGCGGCGATGGGATAAGAATACCCGAAAAAATCGATCGTATATCTTGTATAACGTCTGTCCAGCCGATCTGAACTGAGCCAAGTTGCTGAAATCAGACGTGTTTAGTACCGAGTCACTGGTATACGCAGGACCTCAGAGCTCAAACGGATTGCAGAAACACACAGGTTCGCACACGAACAGCGAATATCTTCATCAAAAAATGGTTGGTCATTCGGTCTGATTCACAAATTAAGAAGGTGTCCTAAATTGAAATGTCGCTTGCTCATACGCAAGATCTAGGCCTGCATTGAAAGTGGAAGCTCTGAGTTACACATTGATACCGGATGCCTTAGGAAAATTCAGCTTCCTGGGTTATTCTGCTGAAAATATCTTTGATGTGCTCATATGCGTGATACAAATGTACCTAAAGCTGATTTTACGTTTAAGGACCTGCACATAGCAAGCAAATATTGTAAAATCACTGTATACTACCTAACCTAGTATTTTTGCTGGGATTTTGCACAAGATGTCTCAATTTCAGGTTTAATGTGTCGTATCCACGAGATAAGCATGCGAGAAAGCCGAATTGGGAAATCTTTAGCTCATATAAGAGCACAGAATATCCTTGTGAATTTCAGCTTCATATTTTAATTTGCTCCTGAAATCGTTTTCTTGTTAAAACTTTTTCGCTTTTCTTTTAGTCGTTCGCCATGAAAAACAGTCTATGTGAACGATGGTTTTAAATTAGCCGGGTAGCATGTGGATCAGGAACTGTGGAATCTTCATAAATTTTCGTTTTCCTAGCTTCTAGCTTTCCCGACTGTAGAATTGAACGCGACTGACAAAAAAACAACAGTGCTCGAATTCTAAATTGGGTAAACAGACCTATCAGTGAGTGGACTTAAGTGATCTCGAATAAGGCGATGATATAATTATGGAAAATGTTGATAGGTTACGCAAGAAGATAAATCGTGATTTTGACAATAGCGTTGTCAGAGAAAATAAAAAGCGGCGCGTATAAAGGAAGCTGGCGTAGTTCTGTTTAACAAACGTTTGCTGTTTAGAATGTTTGCTGCTTTGCAATGCGATCTCTGCAAAAGTAGTCGAAATGCTCTTTTTTCGGGCTGCGAAATTCCTCACTAAAAATTCCACGCCTCTGTAGGTAAAGGTAAACGTACGTAGAGATTCCGTCTAAATCTGCACGGCTCCAAATAAACAAGAAACATTCACTGAAGATTCTAAGTTTTTATCTTGCCTGATTCCCGAACTGGAAACTCCTTGCATGAAATTTTATGCATTCGTACATGGGACCTAGGCGGACACGAAAGTTGAATTTAAAATTTCGGGATTGTGTGTTAACAGGAAACGTTATCCTAATATCTTGTTGGGTTAACGAGGGAGAAAATTTTCTGCTTTTGCACCCAGTTATCCGTGAAATGAGTCCTAGGCACATTTGGAAGCTGGATTTAAATTTATACGTCCGCACTTGTGCAGGAAACATCCTTATAAAATATCAGCTTTCTATCTGTCCCGATTCCGGATCCGAAAATTCCTCTCCAAAGTTTTCGCGTGTCCTTGCGTAGGCCTTGGGCGTACATGAAAGCTAAATTCGAGATTGTGAGGTTCCCCTGACACACAAACACACACACACACATGTACAGAGCTATGACAATACTCATTACGTGCAAATGTTACAGCACACAATGCATTAAAAGGATTTAAATTAGTGTCAAAAGTATTTCTCTCCATTTCCTTAGTCATTAAGAGTTCAAGAAGGTTACGCTATTGGTTCCTGGAGAGATTAGTTTTGTCGTAGCTTAAACCCCAGCCACTGCGACATTAGTAGAGTATTAAATTACATTGT